ATCGCAATAACTAAGTGTAAGCTAAGATAATGGTGAAATAAATACAGTTACGCGTCAGAATCGAAAAATTTTAAGTTTTCATCATGAGCAAGGTATATTCATCAGATTTGTTGAGTTCTATTTGATAAGATATATTAATTGTGCAAAAACTGATGAGATGTAAGTTCATCAGAACATCGATAATGTAGAGTTCCACTTTAATGGACATTTCGCCCCTTGCTGATTTTGCACTTAATAAATATAAAACTTTTTCACTTAAAAAAACATTGATTTTCGACAAAAATATAAATAACAATGCAAAAAATGATGAGATGTAAGTTCATCGGAATATCGACAATGTAGAGTTCCACTTTAATGGACATTTCGCCCCTTGCTGATTTTGCATTTGTTGTATAGATTAGTCAATAGACTCGATTAGTTTAAAGAAATTGTATCCGTCAGAATCGCAATGACTAAGTGTAAGCTAAGGTAATGGTGAAATACCTATAGTTACGAGTCGGAATCGAAAAATTTTAAGTTTCTATCATGAGCAAGGTATATTCATGAGATTTGTTGAGTTCTATTCGATAAGATATATTAATTGTGCAAAAACTGATGAGATGTAAGTTCATCGGAACATCGATAATGTAGAGTTCCACTTTAATGGACATTTCGCCCCTTGCTGATTTTGCACTTGATAAATATAAAACTTCTTTAATTGAAAAAAAAACATTAATTTTCGACAGAAATATAAATAACAATGCAAAAACTGATGAGATGTAAGTTCATCGGAATATCGATAATGTAGAGTTCCACTTTAATGGACACTTTTCGCCCCTTGCTGATTTTGCATTTGTTGTACAGATTAGTGAATAGACTCGATTAGTTTAAAGAAATTGTATCCGTCAGAATCGCAATGACTATTTGTAAGTTGAGATAACAATAGAATAGATGCAGTTATGAGTCTGAATCGCCATATTTTCTCTTCTGGAGGAGTGATTTGAAACTCCGTGAAGGCGAATGCCTACTCGTCAGAGTATGTAGTACGTGGCAGAAGAACCAGTCAATAGTGAAAGAGGCGTCGCCTTCACGCTGTATATAAAACATTGCCAGACCAAAAAATTTTGAATGTCAGTCATGAGCGAAATGTATCAATAAGATTTGTTGAGTTCTATTTGATTAGATATATCAATTGTGCAGAAACTGATGAGATATAAGTTCATCGGAACATCGATAATGTAGAGTTCCACTTTAATGGACACTTCGCCCCTTTCTGATTTCGCACATTGTTTTTTTTCTCTTGTCTATTTCAATGAAGTGCATATGATGAGTATTCTTTTTTTCTGTCATCTCTTCTGATTTTGATATGACGATTATTTATTTCTGATGCACATATTAATATATATATATATTAACGAAAATGAGTAAATTAATCTTTTTCAATTTTCTTTTTCTCTAGTACTCGACGTTTTCCAGGCTATAGTCGAGAAGGTAAAAAATTCAATGCCGATGTTCATCGTCAACATATTTTTGGCTTACATGTTGCAAATTATATGACATCACTTAAAGAAGAAAATCCAGATCTTTATTCTAAACAATTTTCACGTTTTGTTAAAGGTGGAATTGAACCAAGTTCGGTAAGATTTCATTTAACATGCCGCAAAAAAAGAACTTACAAGTTTTTTCTTATATTGTTCTTTAGTTTGAAGCTTTATATAAAGCTGCACATGCTGCTATACGTGCTGATCCATCACCATCACCTAAGAAAGAAAAGAAAGTTGGTGCACCTAAACCAAAACGGTAATTAAATTAATTAGAAAAATCTTCTTGTAATCTTAATCTATGATTTATGTTTTAGTTGGAATAAAGTTAAACTTGCTCGATCATCACGCAAGAATCGTGTTCAACAACGTAAAACAGCTTATCTTAAAACGATACAAGGTGGCGATAACGAATAAACGATAAAAAAATTACATATGAACAATAGTGAATAAGATCAGTAATTTTATGTTTTTGTTTTCAACATCATTATTGTCAATCGTTTATTCTTGTTTACATTTTATTGTCAGCATTTGACGGTTGATTATGAAAAAAGAAGAAAAAAAGAAAAATAAAACAAACAAAAAAAGCGAAGCAAAGTCATGATAGAATCTAATTGAATGATTTCAATTAAAAAATTCGACTTCTCTTTTTCATTTGATATAAATTTTAATAGTTCATAAAATGATGAAAAAAGAGTTTGCAAGCAAAAGAAAATGTTAAACATAAACTTGAAGTGTAGTTTTATAAATGATTGAGGTTTTTGTTTTATTTTAATAGTAAAAGAATTTTAATATTAAACAAAAAAAAACAATTGTGTATTCGAAGCCGATTCGTTACAAATCACATTCAACGTATAGATGTCGCGCGAGTCCGAGTCAGTGTCCTGTAACTCAGTTGGATATCAAGTTAAGAACATAGAATCGGGTGTCGTACACGAAAAAAATTTCAGTTGGGACCCAGGTATGATCACAACTCGGATTCGATCCAGTAATTAATGAAATCTCTACATTTCAAAAAATATTTTTAATTTTTCAAACTGCTATTTATATAAAATTATAGGAGTTAGTACTGATTCAATTATGCTTAAGCAATTTATTGGACTTGACAACAGATCACAGAAGTAGAAAGCAATATTGTTTTACTGAAAGAATTCATTTTTAATGAAAGTTCATTTACATATAATGATTAACCATATGATGAACTAACTGAATGCATGGAAAACAAAATGAATTATCAAAAAGATGAATATGTGTTATTCTGATGGAAAAAGCATTCATATATGTACGCAGAACTATGACCGTTGATACGAACACTGCGTTCCATTCCAGCTTCAGTAGCAACAAGTAAACGTACACTTAGTTTTTATGTTGCTATTTATGAAAGAAATGAAATAGGATACCTTTTCATATAAAATAAAAGTTTAAAAACTGTGCGGTGACAGTGAAAGTATCTGCTGGGTGGCGATTAACTCTAGTTCAGATCTAGTAGAATTACAGGAGTCCTGGCATGAAATAGGCAGGCTCCGTTAGGGCTTAGATATGAAAAAAAGTAATACTAGTTCTTTTACTTCATTGATGCTTGCACATTCTGTGTTGCCTGAAATTGGTTTTAATCGTAAAAGAGTATCATTTTACGATACAAGCTTAAGAGGCGTAACTTAGTACTGGAGACAGAGGATGCAAAGTAGTTGAGTCCTGAAAAAGAGTCTCTGCGTCGACGTTTTTCAAAGGCAGGAAAGTATTCTTAGTAAACTTCCACAAAATGAAAACAAGTTCGTCTTTTTATTTATACTCAGCATGACAAGTTTATATTCAATAGACGCCTATGAATGACTATAAAATTACTCTGCTGAATTGAAACAAAACTTTATCAGTTTTATTAGTGTAAGATAGTTCATCTCTCTTCTTTGACACTTACTCATTCGATGAAAATTATATTTCTAGATTTGCCAATAGTTTCAGCATGTAATATATATTTCTCATAGTCTTTTTATCAGTTGTTAGATATTTGCTGTTCTTGTACAGAATTTATTTGAAACAGTTGTATAATTAGCATTTCATGAATTTTGAGGACAACAAATTGAAGAATTAATATGCTTTGTACTCCGACTAACTTCTACTGAATGAACTATGTTCTTTTTTTATTGTTATTTCTATCTCAATATAAAGTTTAAACTTTACGTTAGCGTTCAACATTGTCTCTGTAGTTTGTTTGTAGAAATAAAACCTCAATGTATTTATCTATTATCCAAAAAAATATCATTCGATGAAGTTGAGTCAATATTGAAGTAAAACGAAAAAACTTTTAGATGGGACTTCTGCGACACTCTAAAGATTCTAGCTACGCGCGCTTTTGATTTGATGGAGAGCTACATTGCACGTTTCATTGTGAGTTTTCTTGACCTTCTCCGTTTAACTACCGAACTCATTAGCAGTTCATATCCCATCAAAGGTCCAATTTTACTTGTCATGACCGTTTTTACGTCTGATACCGGTCGCCTTGGCGGTGATCGTTCGATTCTTGATTTTTGCATCAATTTAGGCCTTCACAAACTTCGATAGCAGTTCCTGTCTCGATCTGCATTCTATTTCGTTCCAGGCTTCATTGTCGCTCTCGCTATGAGGTTCACCTTAGATTACTAGCCCACTACTTCTCACACTCACGATAACACTACCTGGACTTATCACTACATAACGATAGCTCATCGTAGCCGTCCTTGTTTATTTACCGATCTCAGTATTCGAGTTGATTTCAATCGCGAGTCCTGTAATGATGATCAAGTTCATTATCGGTGCCGATACCGGTCATCGTGTCACCAGCGATCCAAGCACCGTGCGTGGTTCATCGTCACTTCTGATGCACCTCCTGCTTCACCGATCGACACCAGCCTTCATTCGAATGTCACCAACGGTAATGAAACAAAACTCGCTTTGCCTATCAGCCTCAACTCTGTTGCTTGTACCATCACGCATACTGGTGTCTTCAGCGATATCGATACTCGTCCGAGGTTCACTACACCCACCAGTACCGTTCATATCTTTCACCCAAATCCAAAAATCGGTACGGTTTCTCTAGCAATGAGGCTGACAGTAATCGTTCCTTAGCTATACTTGAACTATAATAGTAACTGTTTCACTAGCGATCAGTGTATTCATCATAGCTTCAGTATTGAACAGAAGGCTTTATTGCTTCCATAAACGATTCGAGGACCATCTTGACGTCCTTAGCGATCGGGAGACCCGAGCTTTCAAGAATGTAACATCATTTTATCTATTTATTTGAGTCTAGTAGAAAGATTAAAGATTTTTTCCCGCTAATTGTGATCGAGAATTCTTCTGTCGTTTAATATTGCTTTTTTTCACAATTACAATGAATTTTTTTGAAACAAAGAAAGAAAAAATGAAGCTTATTTCTTAGACAAATATAGATAACACACATCACAAATTTTATTTTATATCTGACATGAATTTGGCTAATCGTTATAGAAAATAATTAACTGTTGTATCGTCAGTCTGTTGTTGTTGTTGTCGATCAAGACATCGTTCAGCTGCATGTTCAGTTAATAAAAGTACTGAATTAAGAGCTTCTTTCGAAAATAACTAAAATTTAAAAAATAAGAAAAGAAACAAATTTATTTTGTTGTTATATTTACTGTATAAAGTTGTTGTTTTCGACTATCAGATAGAAATGTAATTAAACGAAATGTTTCTTGTTCTTGTTTAATTAAATCAAATATACGAAATAGATTACATGCTAACATTGAAATATATTTATGACGTAAGACTGACATTTCAGTTTGACGAGTTTCATTATCCGGTGATGTTTGATGAATATTCTATTAATATAAAAATTTCAAAAAAGAACAAAACTTTAAAAATAAACAAAAAGTACCGTGCTATCAACTAGCCAACCTTGTGGATAATCAAATACATCATAACAAGCTTTTATTACTATTGGTAAATAAGCTTGATCTTCACGTGTCGTTGTAGACGTATTATCTTGTTGTTTTTGATGCAATTCAGACCAACGTTGAATGGCTTCAAGGGCTGCCTTAAACATGAAAAAAAGCATAAATTAAAGAAAACATAAGTTTTAAGATTCGAAACGATGCACAATAATGTAAATGATGTAAACTGAGTTGGGATGTAAAGTATGTTTAGTCAAACAAGTATATCTTTTCAAGAACTGATCAAGTACTTCTATATAAGATATTAGTGAACGACTGTAAATACTGACATAAATAGTTCCGAAAAACAGATTAAAATAGGAATAAGAAAAGCAGCATTATATGAGATTATTTGTTGATATGAAAAAATTTTAATCAAAAGAAAAATAATGAAGGATGTTTAACCATCAATTTCTTCACAATTTTTATATAAAAGTTGTGTTCTGATCCATAATTCATAATAGATATTGTAGTAAAATGTAACTTCTAAATTTCAAAAAAAAAAACAATCTAATTCTAACAAATGTATGTTTTTTTAAAATTCATTGTACGCATTGAACTGTTCAGTTAATGTGATGAAGAGAATATTTTATATTTGTTTTCAACATATCTAAATTGCTTTTGTTCTAGCTAGCTATAAATTTATGATTGAATTAAAACATAGACTTTTCTGTATCCTATATTCAGAGTGTAATGTGTCTCGTCTAATTCTGGAACTCAAGCGAATTGGCTCGAAAAAGTTGATAACTAGTGTGAAAATGGGCAAACTTCAGTTTCGTTATCATTCTATTGGCCATTAACAAGATGGACGCCTTCAGCAGAAAAAAGTTTGACTGACCAGTTGCACGTCACGATGGAATCGCGCAAAGTAATTTATTACTCATTAGCTCATGTTACGGACGCATAAAGAGAGGACTTTTTGATTAGAATAGCCGAGAAAGGATTCAGATCTCGATGTCTTCTCTACAAAATCACAATAGTTTTGTTAGAATCTTAGTGTAGAACTGAATATTGGCCGAAAAATTGAGCAAAAGATTCTCAACCTGAAGTTTTCTTCTGTCGCACATCGTTTAAAGACTCGCAATTTTTCTAACCATTTCAGAAATCTTATTGGCATTTTTAACATGGACTATTTCAACAAACAAGCAATCCTTTTTTTTTGGAACTAAAATTCTTATAATCAAATACCCGATCATTGAAAAATCCTTTATGTAATTTTTTGTCTACAACCCTTTTGTATCGTAAAATTGTAGTTCGCGTTGGTCACGCACACCACTAGGTTTGAATTCGAGACTTACCCAACAGGTCATACTCTAAAAGTAACAGCCAATTATGACATGATTATGATAAGGTCATCATCAAGACTATCGGGGAAATATGTAGAGTAAAAAGTATCTCACATCTTCGGAGCGACTATTAGACTCAAACCGAAAAAATTTCGTTCAAATAAGGAGTACGATTCACAGCTGGTGACCTGGTTCTTACACTTTGGAAATCAAACGTTGCTGGATTGCCTTATAATTCGACAAACTAATTCGATTCCTACAACAAATGCTTGAACAAATCGTTGACTTGGTGTTGTAGAACTTAAATTGACTAGTAAAAAAATTTGTTTAGATCCAAAACAATAGGATAAAAGATTTTCCGTTCGTGCTGTTGCAAAACTTGACTGTCATATGTAAATGTCTTTGCCTGTTATTATAAGTATTACTTATTATCTACTTTTTTGTTGTACACTTCCTTTTACTTCTTCATTGTATGCCTGATCATTTTTATTGTTTTTGCTATAATGATTACGTTTGTTTTTTCAATTAGGCGAAACACTATTGATATATTTTTTTTTAAGAAACTGTATTAATTCTAGCCTTTCTCGTATGAAATATATTTATGATGATTGTCGCTTTGTTTTAATTTGCTATTTTATAAAAGAATTTGTTATTATCTTATGTTTATGGAAAAACATTCAATGAACAACTAAAACGAGAATGATCAATTAATGCAAAGTCGTTATAGGATTAAGTGTTTTCGAAAAATCAGAAACATCAATTGGTGTGTTTTGGCCTGCAGACCAGGCCAGATAAAAATGACCTAAGAATAGCGATAAACTGTACTATTTTGTTTACTAACGAGGAAACATTCTCAAGTGATCGGCTCTGTACGTTTTCATATTTTATCCATGTATTGGGCTTATCATGGTAAGAGATTTCGTATTCTTGTTGTTGGTTTCAAAAGATATGAAGTTTTATTCGTTTTTCATATAATAAGACGCGCTGATGATAGAATTTTTATTTTGTATCAGAGTAAGATAGTGTAATTGAGACCTTCATGTATATGAACTTTCAAGTTAGCGGATCACCTGAGAATGTTCATTCATAAGGAACATTTTTTTTCCTTCTATTTCGCTCTGAGCAAGTTAGATCAATGAAATAAAATATTCTTACAATATAAGCTCCGAATGCTTTAAATTCTCGTAAATCATCTACTGATTGTTGACGATTATTTGCTTCAATCTAAAAATTTTCGCAAATAATCAAATTATAATTTTAAATCAAAACAAATCAATTGTTAACATACAGTATGAATATCAATATCATGTGGAAAATATGATAAAGCTATTCGAATTCCTTCATATTTTGCATCATTAAGAAAATATCGACATATTTGATTAGCAAAACGAAGTGCATCTAATGTTTGTGTTGATAAAAATGTTGTTAATAATTTTAATGCTTCTAATTGTTTATGATCATTCTAGAAGAAATAAAAATAAATAAAATCTTTTTTTATTTTGCTTTTTTTTTTGATTAAATTAAAATACTTCATTAAGATTTTTTGAATTTGTTGATATTATTTCTTCATTATTATCTTTATCAAATGTTTGATCTCGTCGTTGATTAGCCGCAAGTATTAATAATGATGTATCAATATCAATTTTATATGTAAAACCTTGTTTCAAATAATATTCTTTATCTTTTCGATTTGATAATGTATCTAAAAATTTTGCCATTATTGTTGCTAGAATAGATAATTACTTTTAATCTTACAAAAAAAAAAGAAAAAAGACAATAAATCTAAATTTAATCTTACATTGATTATTTGATGGTAATTTTGATATATAATAACAAACAAGATCTTTAAATTCAAGTTCAATAAGATGATCAATATATGTTGTTAAAANTAAGATAGGAAAATTTACATGGATCACATGTCCATGTATGAATGATCGATTTATGGTACAAAATATATGTTAGTATTTTCAGCAAAAGTCCATCTAGACTCTTCTGAAATAGCTTTATTTTGATACCAAACGATTCCTCGTGAAATTCTGCATCTAGTAAACTATGAATCAACCAAAATTGACGAGGGCCCAAAAATGACCCTTATACGCCCCCGTCCTTTCTCTTTACCTCGCCAACTCAAAGTAGCGCAACTGTAGCCTACTAGAAGCATATTGATAATCATAAATAGGAGTACGTTCATTGTTTTTGTGTGTGAGCTAGTTTTAAACAAAGAAGCAAACTAACGACGGACATTATCGGATGTTAACAATTAATACATTCGTCTCTTCTTCAATTTTTCATTTTTTCACGATTAAATCGCAATCGAAGTATCATAAAATTCATAATTACTTTTTTTCTTGTTACTACCATCTTCTATTCGTTATTTTTTTTGGAACCACTGTTACTGATAGCAATGTTGAATATGTGAAAATCTCAATACCTTGTATATTACATGCTGAGCTTATGCTTTGGGAAATACGAAAGTCATACATTGGTGAATGTAGAGAAGAGACAGGCCATTATCTTCTGTTAGCAATCTTTTACTATTATTATACATAGAAAAAGAATACTCGATACATTTTTTATCAAAATAATTTTGAGTGCATCAGAAAGAGTTTATCGAGTTGAGAATGCATGAGTGATGAAGACACCCATCTAACCAACTATCAGCTATCCGAAAAGATATTTCAATTTGACTGCAAGGGCTAAGATCTACAACAAAAAGTGTCTAAGAATAGCTTATCTGGAAAACTGTCTTTATTTGCTATTGATCAACAGTAGATGGTTTCTAATTCAAATGCTCAAGAACCTACGTACTAGTGGTAGAGAAACGATCCGAAAAAAGAAAAAGGTATTTTAGTGGTGGTGGATTCGTCTGTCAACAATGAAAAGTCAAGATCAAAGAGAAAACTTCTTCTGACTTGTCAATCAAAAAACAGCTAGTATGAAAAGTGATCTTACTGCTCATCTTGGCCTCTTCTCCTTCTCAATGACATTATTTTCGAACAACAACTAGAATGTATTTCTATAGTAAATATCTCAGAATAGTATTTACAATGTAAGCTTGGCTATTATTTGCAGAAAACGATAACATGTAAAAGTGAAACGAACAGTTCAAAATTAGTATTTTTATTTTCTTTTTCTTGAGATCAATTTGGAATCCAATTTTGTCATTTGTTGATATTTGCACCATCCCTGGTCACAGGCTTTACAGCGTTTGGAATCGTGTGGTCCACGACTGAATCCTTTATCTTTTGGTTGATCAGAACAATCGTTGCTATAGATTTCAACATCATAGAATTTCTTTAATAGTCAAATATGCAGCCAATAGAAGGCCTGCTCAATGCTATCTTGGTCCAAGCGACCTGAACCGTATGTTTCACACGTTTGACATCCTTGTTCAAAGATTTTTATTTGAATTTGATCGGAACTCCAGATAACTCCATCTGCATCCATTTGTTCCAAATATCGAGCGCGAAAAAGGAGCGTCGTGTAAACTGAAGACCAAGCAGATTTATCATTTGACTTTTTCTGATGACCACATTTTGGGCAGAAAAATCTGAAAGACAAATAAATGTACAGCATGGAAATAAGACCAATAGATGTAGAGATCGAAAAAATCTCTTACTTTGATCGAGCATTATGCGATCGATAAAGCCATCCATCAGATTTTGTCAATTTGGTATTTTGCTGATCGGTTTTGACATTCTTAGGCATTTTTTCTAGTGTCCATTCCGTGAGACCGTAAGTGTCGAAAGCCGAGTAAAATATCGATTGATATTGTCTAAATGACATAATTGTTATATAGAATACATTTCACTATGTATGCATGGCGTTTTATAGTCTAGTTGCAACTTCACATAATGAGAAAAAATCCATACTGATAAAAAGCTTTTCGTTCTGTTGGCTGACATGTATGACTCATAGAAATAACACTATCATTCTGCACAGTTGTCATTCGGCAGAACGTGAGTATTATTTAAAAAAACAGTCAATGGACTCGGACTACATATGATACAACAACTACTATACACTTAGGTCAATATGACAATGATTAGAGATGCTTCCTCGTGATGGCTTCGGAAATAATCCTAGATTTAAGCGAGTCATAGGGTTTTTGCTTGAATCATTAGTGCATAGCACTTGCAAAGGAAAATCAATTAATTAATTGAGTGTAGCTGTTTGTTCTCAACTTTATCAAGGTTTATCTTTAAGAAAAAAATGATGATGAAAATCAATACAAAAAAGAGATGAAGGAAATCCTAGAAATTTTTATGGTTGTCATGACAGGTATTATGAAACGTTAGAATATTATCAAGCCAGCTGTGTATATATTTCGTGTGTGTTTCCATGTTTTTGAAACCGCAGGAATTCGCAAATTATAAAAGAAAATGATAACACATCACAGTTTCATTGGCTGATGCTTCTCATATTCTCATAGCTTCAAGAATAGAGAGAAATCATGGTATTTTCCAGTATATGTAACATCCTAGACCAATCGTGCTTCTTTGAACAAGGTCGTATATTAATCGATTACGACGGAAAACGGCAGCTGTTTACGATGATCATTTAGTGCAATCATAAATCACGCTTTTCGATGTATTCCAACCATTGGAAACAACGACCGTATAGAATTGCTGTTAATGATTGACATAACAGTACGGTGACTGTAAGAGTGTGAGCAGGGATGAGTGCGAATGCTGCAACTGTGAATGTGGTTGTGTTTTATGTATTGCTGCCCTCCTTCCACTTAAATGGCTACACTTACATCGACATTCACAGCCACACGCACACAAATAGTCACCCACTCCAACAGCTACCCATACCCGTGTTAGATTGGAGAAGCGGTATGCCATAAGAGCAAGAAAAAATTGAAGCCTATTGTAATATGAATTAGAATATTTTGAATCAGTTTTGTCATAGTATCGCGAATCCTGGCTCTGATGTCATTTTTTTCTAAACTACTACTGACTGATTCGTTTGTTGTTGCATTACTGATCTCACCAAATAGCCCCATTTTCGTAGCGTGTAGTGTAAAGCAATAGTGCAATGCAAATCGTGTCACAAAATTTATGTTCAGAACGTTCATATATGCAAGAAAATCAGTAAGAGAACATCGAAAATTAGAAGCGAATACAAGAAACGTAACGACTAGTCATTTGATGCTATTCCGTGCTTTTCGAAGAAAAATAAGAAATACAGAAGATATTATCGAAAACAGAAGCAAAAAAGAACAATTTTTAACATAATACAGGAAAAAGTGGACGAATGAGAAGTCAGTTGTGTGATAATCTCTTCACATTCAAAATCTATTAATATATACTTTTCACAAAATATGACTGTGTTAAGTGTAGCAATTAAATATTGAAGTATATCATACGAATACTTATTTAAATTGATTATCATGAATGTTGCCGAGGTGACACTCGCATCCACATACCATACTTCGGTCTAAAAGCAGAAATTCTTTAGAAAAATAACGGAGACAACGACCAATGTAACCTCATAGTAACGACAATTTCTGGCACAAACTTTTGACCCGGTTCAAGCTCGAAACGAAATCGTCGAATCATCAGTGCTAACATTATTTTAGCTTCTAACATAGCAAAATTTTGTCCAACACATGAGCGAGGTCCTGCAGAAAATGGATAGAGCAGTTTGTCTGATTGATTGTCATCGAATCTAGATGGGTTAAACTTGAATGGTTCATGCCAATACTTTTCCGAGCTATTTTAGATAGATCAAATCATAAGAGTACGTACAATAGAAATCTTACTGATGCAACAAATAGAAGTTGATAAAAATCCCAGTTCCTTTCTTGATATGAATCTCTTTTCCATCACTGGCAACTAGTGTATTATCTTTAACTGCAGTACGGACTATTCCAGGCACTGGTTGATGAAGCCGTAAGGATTCTTTCAATACGGCTTCCGTGTAAGTCAAGAGCGACAGAGTCGATGGTGTTATCTCTTCGTCATTTTTCAGCACCGAATCCACTTCTGCTTCTAATCGGCGGCAGACATCCGGATTGTTGGCCAGATTGTAGAGAGTCCAAGTCATCAATGTCGATGTTGTCTCATGTCCAGCAGTAACTAGATGGTAAGATGAGTACTTGAGTTTATTGTTTTCAGCAAGCACATGTGAACATTTTTAACAATAAATCGGATGAAAATCTTTTTTTTTTTTCAACTGAAAACATTGATTTTTCTGAATTAGTAAGATCAATTTCAAATGATTAGTCTGTGTAAACCGATTAATAAAATGTAATTAGTCATGTTCAACTTTGAAAAAAATGAGAAAAATCTGTCTTTGCAGCTGACAAAAATAGATTTAAATCTGACTTGTGATCAAAATGTTTTACATGAGAACAATGGAATTTCTGATCTTCACTAAAAATATCCGACATTTCAGACTCACCAAAAGTTAAAGCCTCTTCGTAGACTTCTTCGTTAGTGAATTTGCTCGTTTTGTCCTCACCACGCGCCGATAAAAGTAGATCAAGCAAATCAGGACCTATCGATCAACATAGAATAGATCATCAGTGAGAAGATGAACCATGGCTGATTCAAACCTTTACAAGCTGACTTAGTCAATCCTTTCTTACGATCGTCGACGATTCGTCGAATAATAGTTTTCCCTTCACAAATACATTTATCAATACGTCGCTTGCTTGGTAATGGGAGACGATTGATAATTGGAATGATAGCAATCATATTAAACAAACGTTTTTCCATTAATTCAAGTGATTCTGTTATGGTACGATAAATCGTTTCGTGTATGTTTTCATCAGAGATTATCTCCGTACCAAACACGCAACTTGTAACAATATCTAATGTCAACCGTGCCATCTTCTCATGCATATTGAGAATTAGTGGCTTGTCGTCGTCGTGAGCAGCAGTAGCAGCAATCGACCATTTTTTCATATGATTCAATGTTATTTCAACCATGAGTGATATCATAGAGTTTAAATTTTGATGTTGAAATACAGGTGCTATCAATCGACGATGCTGAGCGTGGATCTCATCTTCGGCCATTATAAGATTATTGTTTCCTAATAATGCTCCGAGAACTAGTCGCATGATGTATGCTTTATGATAAGCACGAGCATTGGTTTTAAGAATACCATTAATCAAGGCTGGATCAAATGTATCTAAACGAGCAACAGGACCAAACGAAACGTGGTAATAGTCGCCAAATTGTGCTGCCAAAGCTGTGCTATGTGCAAGTGGATTTTCAGCAAGAATACATTTACGAATGTTGAATATTTCGCCTATTATTGGAATATGGCGTCCTGGAACACCTTGAGCCCATAGATCACGATGAATGCGCCATGGATCGATTATCCAAAATTTAAAGGGTCGATAAAATATCCATATTATGAAAGCAACTAGTAAAAGAACGAGCCACATGATACTTGACAAAAAATATTGTATTTATCAACTATAAGAAAAGAGCAAAACAGAGATATAACTTTGCTTGTGACAATTGAAGAAAAAAAAATGAGAATAACTTGCCGGTGAGCGAGCGAGCACGTGATTCACGAACAACCAACTTATATCTTTTTCATTCTGTTCTCAGTCGGGAGTAAATGTCTCGAAGACACGTGGAAGCGCATAGAATATGCAAAAGCTGACATCCGCACGCAAAACATTGATGTCGACGTCGCTTTTCGCGCATGGTGACGCAAATATATAAAAATTCTCGTATGGATCAGAGATGTCCATCGCGGCGCTGCCACTGCCGCGGTAGCGGCGGCAGGTTTTTTTAAAAATCATCGCGGCGGCGGCAGCGGCAGATTTTTAAAAACTCATCGCGGCAGCGGCAGTTTTTCTAAAAGCCATCGCGGCGGCGGCAGCTTTTTTTTCGAGGACATTGAAAAACTGCATGAATTTGATAGAATTTCATTGTTTACAAATGAAACACCCTGAGACTGAATGAAAAAGATATAAGTTGGTTGTTCGTGANTGATGGACTAGTACCAATATTTGTGGTCCAATACGGTCACAGCAGTGAAATTCGAAACATTTTTTTGAAAACCATCGCGGCAGCGGCAAGTTTATTTTACAATTCATCGCGGCAGCGGCGCGGCAGCTTTTTTTATAAGTCATCGCGGCGCGGCAGCGGCGCGGTAACCTTTTTTTTCTAATGCCGCGGCAGGTTTTCAGCCGCGATGGACATCTCTGGTATGGATCCACCAAGTACTATTGCGCGCACATGCTTGCAAGTGAAACCATGCAGATGTTAGTGCTATTACAAAATGTTTCTTGAAGTCATGCATGGCCATGCAACCGTTTTCTCCACCCAAGCCTTTTCTCAGAAAACTTTTGCATGTTCATACTAGGATTTTTATCTGCACTTACATGAATGTACACATGAATGTTTTCGTATATTTTTTATTACTCTGCAATCTTCATGGTCATAAAGGGAAACACACAAACTTCATTATATCATTGCCTGATTTTGAATAGATTATTTATATGTTTGTGATATATATAATGAGATAAATGATGATATAGAACAATATGACAAGATAGATGAGTAACATGACATTCCACTAATCACTATTGAACAGCTTTTCAATTAGAATAAAAATAAGAAATAGTAGTACACTTCAACTCTTCAATGCTAGCAGAGTTTTAGATGGTGTTGATCAAAAAAACGTTTTTTATTCTAAACTATTTTATAATTAGGATTCGTTCTTTTTAAAATCAAAAGATAGAATAATAATAACAAATAATCAAAAAACAAATTTAATATTTACCACCAAGATTCATTTTTGTATGATCTAATGATCCGTATTTTTCTCATGTAATAATTCAACTCGAGATTTGAAATGCATATAAATTTATCAATCGCTAAATGCAATACATCTACCAATAAACTATAAATCAATGGTGTACATATAAAAAAGAAGAATGCTACTGATTTTTAGAAATATCTATGTTCTACTCAATCTGACTTCAACGGAATAGTATTTTTTTTTCATATAAGCTGCCTTTAGCAAAAATTTTCCCAACATGTTTTGTCAATTGTCGTCTACTTATAAGCCATTGGAAACTTAGGAAATGACTTACACATTATGTGTAAGGAGTTTTTTTTTTATATCCCACGTTCTGCATTTTCTGTAATGTTTCTAACAGTGGCAATTCTAGTTGTTAATGAGTAGTAAAGGGTTACTTCTAATCAATGTTATCGTATATATCCATTCAGTGGCATCCATCACTCTGCCATTCATAAAAATTAGTAGAGATTTTGATGATAATAGATAATAAACATCATTCATTTGTCGCCATTGTATATATTCCATTCTCAGAAAAAACTATTGGTAAAATAAATATTTCGTCTCCGAATACAAATGTGAATTTAGCAACAAGTCTGAACTTCATATATCTGTTGTTTATTGTTTGTTAGAAATAAAAGTACATATACTAACAAAAACGATTATATCTTTTGTGCCAAACTTTAAATCACTTGATCATGACTGATCTAATCAATCGAAAGCATCTGGTATTTTTCTCATTTTAATCTTGCATCGGATGGAAAAAAATATGGCTAATCGAATCATGTGTTTTATATAAAAGTGTTTTCAAATCCATATTAACAACATCAAATAAATGTTGAATTAAATATAATATATGATTCTTATAGCAAGTAGCATACTATTTTCTCCTTTTCGTCTAACTTTCTATTTTAGCATGAAAGTCAATATTTGATTGATTGAGATTGACGAATTTCAAATTCATTCATAGATGTCACTATTAACCAAACTGTCGTAATAAATTTTATTTGATATTTTTCATTTTTAGAAGAACATTTCAATTTTTTAATAATATTTAACAATGCATTAAAGTTATTAATGCTAACTAATGATAACATGATCAATCATATGCGATTGGCTGATGTTGGCAATCTTCGTCATCTGTTTATTTCTTCCTTCTTGTTGTAATATAAATTTATCCATTTATTTTTTTTTGTACACAATCATTAACGTCTGTATGAGTAGAATATGGAGTAAACCAGGCAAATTTATATTTTATGAAATACTCTCTACAACCCTTATGTAAGTTACGGTTTTTTCATCATGATAGCTAAACATATAGTGCGAGCTTTGTCGAAAAAAACTTGATATTTTACATTTTAGTGTTAATATATCCTTGTTTAGATCGATAACAGGTGATATACTTTATTGATAGGATCCGTCAAACAGTGTGTGACACACACTGTGTGTGTACAGAAGTATCTATTTGAATAAAAGAAAAATCAACAATATTTTATTTCAGATTTTTATTCGAAAATTTTATTCATCCAATGTCTGTTGTTTGTTAATATTCAATCAATGTAATGATGTAATTGTTTTATTATTTTTTCTAAAATATTTTCTAATTTTATTTCATCAAATTATTTTAGTCGTTCAACAAATACAAACGTTTCAAATTCATCACAAATGAATTCATCGGATACAACAAATAATACATCTGGTTTTAAAACTGGTCTAACATGGGATTTAACACCATATGAACAACAACGTAAACCGCATGAATTATTACATGATGAAGAATTACTTATAAGTCCAAAATCTTTACAAAGTGAATTAACATGCCCAATATGTCTTGATCTTTTACGTAATACACGTACAACAAAAGAATGTTTACATCGTTTTTGTTGTGATTGTATTGAAACAGCATTACGTAGTGGAAATAAAGAATGCCCAACATGTCGAAAAAAATTAATATCAAAACGATGTTTACGTCGTGATCAAAATATTGATGCATTAATATCAAAATTATTTCCAATACGTAATGACAATGATGATTTATTAATAAATAATCGTAATAAGAATTCTAAAAAACCAATACGTGCAAGTTTATCATCGGATGATGAACAACAACAACAACAAACAAAAGAAAAAAAGAAAAAACGTATTTCTGAATCATCATCATCAGCTGGTTCTACACCAGCAATAAATGATATTGAATTACAACTTAAACCAGTAAATAATCTTAATATATATACAATAAGAAAAATTTTAACACCATTAAATGCAACTATAAATCATTTATCAAAATTTATTAATACAAGAATGAAAATTGAACAACAAAATTCAACATTTATTGAACAAGAATTTCAATGGTTTATTAAAATAAATGATGATATACCTATTGAAAATACATTAACACTTGACAAATTACTTGAACAATATTGGAGTCATATGTCTAAACCATATTATATTTTTTATCGAGCAATTTCTCATTAAAATCTTTTTCGTTTCTCGTTTGTATTAAACGATAATCTGTTTATATATATATATATTTGTTGTCAAATAAAAAGTATGTATAACTGTATGTCTAATTCTAGATAAATTTGAAAAAACAATGGTTCTCGCTGATCTTGGTCGACGTCTTTCATCAGCATTACGTAATTTAAGTAATGCGACTATTATTAATGAACAAGTTTTAAATGAAGCTTTGGGAGAAATTTGTCGAGCTTTATTAGAAGCTGATGTTAATGTTCGTTTAGTTAAACAATTACGTGAAAATGTCAAGTAAGATAAATTATATAATATATATTCTATGTTCTACATTTCAGAAAACATAAAATATAAAAAAAGACCATTGGCGGATCTAGGAGTTTTATAATGAGAGGACGCTTATTATGATAAACCGTGTTTTTTTCTGCTAGAAAAAACTTGGGAAAAACTTTTTGGAAATGAAGCGCCCACCCTTGTCCTAGTGCTTTCAGTATAAATTTGCCACTGAAGAGAACTCTCTGGAGCCCGACGGGTTCTAGAGCCTTCCTCTTTCCTGATATTACAATCAAAAGTTTTTCGACTTATCGTTTTTCATTGCTAATATAGCTTCAAAGTGTCCTTTGTTAAATACTATATAAGTGAGGACTCTTCGCTGTTAGTTAGTACTTTTATCAAATCCAAATCTCGAGGTTCCTAAAAGAAAAACTCACGCTACGAATATTTTTTGTATGCAAAATTCTTCTAATGATAATGATTATTTCTTATTTCAAGGGTGCTTAGAGTATGAGTCATGGGAGGGGACTACGGGGATTTATCTATTAGTAGTATATACCAAATGTTGATCGTACCAGAAGAGATTCATAGTCGCCATGAGTATACCTTTGCCGCCAGCTTGTCTTCTTTCCTAAGAGTTATTCTCCCCCTGAGACTAATCCCTTCCGTTTGATAATAAAATATATAACGGCAAAAATTGATATTTTAAACACATTTCGAAAGAATCCTGGTTGAGTTAAGTTTTTTATTTTTTCGAATTGAGATAATGAGTTTCTTGATTTTCTTTTCTTACTATTGTGAAAACAAAAGCTTGAGTATCTCCACAATACTTTTAACAAAAGTATAAAGCTGTAATCATTGACTAACCATGAAAACAAAGAATATTTT